TAATCGCAGCTGCCCCGATTTTTAATATTTAGGTGATAAGAACATCCCATTTTGCATCAAAAAACAGTAATTTAATCGTTAGTATACTCTTCATGAAGTCTCGACAGGACTTTGAAAACCAGCCGTTTTGTGGGTGAAAAATTCATTCTCAACTATGAAGTATTGATAGATTTTCTCAAAAAGCAGAGCGTTTGCCTCACTTTTAATGACTTTTATAATAAAAACCATCCCTTACACAGTACATTATAATAATACAATCGTTAGTATGCCTTTCAATAACTTTTTGTAGCAACTTGAAAGCAATACGTATCGTTGGAAACGAAATTTCGTGTACCTTTAAGGAAAAAAATTCTCAAGTATAATCGCAGCTGCGCCGCTTTTTGTTGTTTCAGTAATAAGATCATTCCCTTTCGCACCAAGTAACATTAATTCAATTGTTAGTATACTCTTCAGGAAGTCTCGACAGTACTTTGAAAACCAGCCGTTTTGTAGGTGAAAAATTCATTCTCAACTATGAAGAATTGATAGATTTTCTCAAAAAGCAGAGTATTTGTCCCACATTTAATGACCTTTGTAATAAGAACCATCCCTTACGCAGTGGACTATATTTTATTTTATTTTATTTATTGGTTCACCAACAACTGTTACATTTATACTTATTGTTAGGTACATTCTGTTTTGGGTTTAAGCTTAATGCACAGCTACTTAAAGGTAAACACCACATGCATAGAAAAGTGTCTTTAACAATTCGACTTATTATATTTATCTATTATCTAATGCTCGACAAAATAACAACCTACTTTTAATACATACTATTTAGATTTAATATTTTTTTAAAATGAAGCAAAACTGTCTGCGTGCACATCCAAATGTTTACTATGTAAATTATATAAGGTACCGATTCTGCATATGGGTGAGTTCATACCGAACTTAGTTTTTCGATTAGGTGTGCATAATGGTTGGACATGGTATCGTGGATATCTATGGGGTACTTTAATCATTATTTGACTTAACAGGACTGGACAGTCAATTTGGTTTCGAAGTAACTTGTATAGAAAGACTAGATCCGATCTATCCCTTCGGCTTTCCAGGCTCATCATATGAAAATATTCGAGTTTTAGTTCGTAGGAAGACCGTCCAGCTATTCCCTTCGAATATGCCAAGTGGTATAAAAATCTTTTTTGGATTCGCTCAATTTTCAGTGAGTGTGTGGCATAATGAGGTCTCCAAATTACACTGCAGTACTCTAGAATACTACGCACTAGTGAATAGTACAATAATTTTTTTGTCTCCACTTTACGAAAAACCTTTGCATTGCGTATAACAAACGTTAACATTCCCGACGCTTTCTTAACAATGCGATCAATGTGTGGCAGAAATGTCAATTAATTGTCTATGTACACTCCTAAATCCCGTACACATTTTTCCTCCTTGATAGTGGAATTTCCTATGCGATATATTAACGGAAGGTTTTTTTGTTTCCTGGAGATTTTGATTGCACAGCACTTGTCACTGTTAATCTCCATCATGTTAGCATCACACCAAATCACAAGCCTATCTAAGTCCTGCTGTAGCGCAATAACATCGCCCGCACTTTTAATAACTTTAGCAAATTTTAAGTCGTCAGCAAATAAAAATGGAATTGAATTTAAGAAACATCCTGCAATGTCGTTAATAAAAATGTTAAATAAGATAGGGCCTAAATGGGACCCTTGAGGTACACCTGAAGAGATTCCATATTCATTAGATTTAAAGCCGTTAACAACTACATGAAAATAACGACTCGTTAAGTAGGACTCAAACCATGTAAGTAATGGACAGTCGATACCATGCATTTTTAATTTCTGTATCAACAGGTCATGAGATATTCGGTCAAACGCCTTGCTAAAATTTGTATATATTACATCAATCTGCTCATTACAGTCTAGGTATTTAATCAAATATTCAATAAAACTTGCTAGGTTAGTTGATGTCGATCTATGTTTTACAAATCCATGTTGAGACTCAATTAAATACTTCTTAAAATAGTCCTGTAACAATACACAAACAAACGACTCAAATATCTTTCCAAAACTAGACAATATTGAGATCGCTCTATAATTGGAGATTAATTTTTTATCACCAGATTTATGCACTGGTACCGCCCTGGCCGATTTCAATATATTGGGAAATATTCCCGTTGCTAAAGATTTATTATAAATGTACTGAAGCGGTTTAACTAAATTAGATGCGCAGTTTGTAATGAATAGCGGTGGTATGCCATCAGGTCCCGCTCCTTTAGTTTTGTCTAAAGTTTTGAGCTTTCGTTCTAACGGACTTTGTTCAATTGCATACACCGTTAGACTATCAGCATTATGGAAAAGAGTATCATTGATGTCTAATGTATTTGCCCCAATGCCTCCGTCATTATAAGTTGCTTTGAATTGCTTAGCAAACAAATTACAAATCTCCAACCCATCACTACTTGTAGTTATACCATCATTCATTGAAGATGGATAAGAACTTGTACCTCCACGTTTTGCTTTGATGTATGACCAAAAGTATGTAGGGTTCCGAGCAATTTTATCTTCAATTAGCGATGTATATGAGTTGTAGTTTTCCTGATTTAACTTTTCTGATCTGTTTTTAATCAACTGCAATGATATTTGGTCTAAAGGATTATTGTATTTTAAAAACCGTTTCCTAAGCTTATTTTTTTCATTCAACATTTTAATTAAATCTCTAGAGAACCAAGGTGGATATTTGGTATCAGTTTTGTTTTTAGTCAATGGAACATGTTTCGATATGATTTCCCTTATCTTGGAGTAAAAAACATCTGTGAATTCATTAACATCACCGCAATTACGGAAGAGGCTATACCAATCCAATTCTTCAAGACAAGTGTTAATAGCCACGTAGTCGCCCAACCAGAAATTGTAACGTTTCGATAAAGACTTTGTCATTTCGCCAGTGATATCTATATTGAAGGTAATCTCCAAAGGTGGATAATATAGATCTACTTTACTGAGTCCACTGTGTGCCGGAGCGACGTCACACAACGGGATATTAACGAAGACCAAATCAAGTACTTTACCCTGCATGTTCTCTACTTTGTTCCTCTGTTTTAATTTATTTATCTGTGAAAAATCAATTAACAATTGACACAATGACGAGGTATGACGAAAGCAAGAACTGTCGTTTACCAATTTCCAATTAATACTACGGAGGTTGAAGTCACCCAATATACATATATGACACTCATTATTTTCTAGAAATGTATGACAACTTTCAACAAATAACTCTAAGTGTCCTCTTTTTACAGGAGAACGGATATAAACTGCACAAAAAACTAATGTTGTCTTTTTTTTACCGTTTGGTAATTCTACAGATACCCATAAATCCTCAATGCAACTTTCCTGTGTATACAATCTACAGGACATATGTTTTTTTAATACAGCGATTAAAACTCCTCCTCCGCCTTTTCTTGTCTTATTTAAACATGTTGTACTTCGATCCCTTCTGTAAACTATGTATCTGTCATCAAACAATTCACAGTCCCCTACATTGCTAGATAAATTTGTTTCAGTTAACGCAATTAAATCATAGTTGTTACATGCAACATTTTGAAGAAATACATGAGTTTTGGTACGTAGACCGCATATATTTTGATAAAAAATGTTTAATGAACTGAATTTTAAAATGAATAAGTAAAGGTTTTGAACACAAAGACTAAAATTAAAAACTTAATACTACTTTAACTTATTTAAGTCACTAATGTCCTTTATAATTTTATATTCCGAATTATCACTCTTTCTCATGTAAATTCGTCCACCCCTTACCCAAACGTATTTATACCCAATATCCTTCGCTTTCAATCTTGCAGCCGCGTGCAGAGCCTTGTTGTGTGCTGAAAGGTGTTCGGTAACGTAGATTGGAACCTTAGCTCCTGGTATGTTAATATGGGAAGTATTCAATCTGTCATTTGGTTTCGATTTATTGAACTTAATCGCCGCTGCTAAGAAATTGTCACGGATTCTGGGTGTGCTGAATTGTACAACTATTGACCTTGGCCTGATAGAATCTTTGTTGATTTTTGCTATTCTTGTACATATATAACGCTGCTCAGTTTACTCACGATGCTTAATACATTTTCGTCTCTTTTTTCAGGCACGCATTGAATCTCGATGTTGGTAGATCTAGCGTTTTGTTCCATTTGATTGACTCGAGCATACAACTCATCCACTTTAGATTGCATTGAGTCATTCTTTTCCGTCAGTGATTTAATTGTGGCCCGGGACTCAGCATGCTCATTGGTTATTTCCTCAAAACGTAAGTTCATGAATGTCATAGATTCCTTGACTTCCGTAATCTCCTCCTTTATTGATTTTAGTTCCGAATGAAGGACATTGGTCATAGTGCTCTGCATTGCTTTTTGCATCTCGTAACAAAAGCCTTTTAAAATATCATCCATTTCCTCTCTAGTAATAGGTTTTTTATCATCTGAGTTAGGTGGAGAATTTAGTGCCTGCCTCTTACCAGGTCTCGTAGTGACATTAGGATTAAAACGCACTGGCGTATTATCATTGTTGCCTTGTTTCTTCGTGCAGAGCAAACACGTCCAATCCGCAGCACCACTAATAGAAGCACCTCCACGGTTATTCGTTATCACAAGGCACGCTTCGTGAAATGCCTTACTGCACTTGATGCATACCACGTAACAATCATCTTGTAGATCCAACGTACAGCAACCCCAAACGATGTCAGGACCATCAGTATCAGCCATTGTCGAAAGTTTTTTTTTTTTTTTAATGTAGATTGCGAAGTAGGAGCTATTTGTAACACGTATTTCTTTCTCAAGTATCCTCAAATTATTCCGTGTATGCGTAGCACTTCGCAGATCCACCCGTAGCTCGGCCAAGTTGGTTGTAGTCGTTCTCTTTGTAGACGATACCGGCGGAGCACGACGTGTTGTCTCGCTCTAAACTCGCTAGGGGAGCACCTTACGGTCCTACTGTTCAGGTATGACAAGGAGGTACCGATAATGGCCAGTGGATAGTTGTAGACAGCTCGAAAACCAGTCGTGCGAGACACCGGTAGGCCAGGGTACGGTCCATATGCGAGAGGTCTTGCAGTGTGGTCGATCACAATTAGGAATGACCAGCGACCAAGACACGGGAACCACACACAAACGCCGTTGCACAGGGGTCTTAACACTGGTTATGCTTGAAAAATTAGCATGGACACGTCTATTCACTGTGGTGTCGAACACCTAATCACCCACTATAATAATATAATCGTTGGTATGCCCTTTAATAACTTTCTGTAGCAACTTGAATGCAATACGTATCGTTGGGAACGAAATTCCGTGTTTCATTTAAGAGAGAATTTCTCAAATATAATCGCAGTTGCCTCGCTCTTTGTGATTTCAGTGATAAGAATATCCCCTTTGACACCAAGAACCATTAATTTAATCGTTAGTATACTCTTCATGAAGTCTCGACAGGACTTTGAAAACCAGCCGTTTTGTGGGTGAAAAATTCGTTCTCAGCTATGAAGTATTGATAGATTTTCTCAAAAAGCAGAGTGTTTGCCCAGTTTGTAATGACATTTATGCTAAGAACTATCTCTTGTGCAGTGGAATATAATAATACATTTGTTAGTATGCCTTTCAATAACTTTCTGTAGCAATTTTTTTATTTTTTATTTTTCATTGCGAACGAATTTCCGTGTTCGGTTGTCAGAGGACAACCGCCGCATGAGGGGGCAACTGGCAGCCCTGGAGACGGAGGTGAAGGCTCTGAGGGGAGCCTACTCCTCCGCCGCGGCCAGGGCCAAGTCGCAGGCAGCGCCGCCGAAGAGCAGCTCCTCGGAGCTGCACGACGAAGTCATGGGGGCGATCAACGACCTCAGGCGGGATATGTATGCCACCATGAAAAACATGGTGGACGCCCGCCTGGGCGATATAGAGAGGCGCCTCCCGGCGGAAAACCTGCGGCCCCCGCTGGGCTGCAGAGGAGGAGCGCCCCCGTTGCGGCACCGGCCGCCCCCGTTCTAGCGCTGGCTGCTCCCAGAGCGCCTCGCTCTGCAGCGGCCCTGGAGCCGACCGCGGGCCCCTCCCCGGCCCGTGATGCGCCTGCCGGCCCGAGGCCTAAAAAGGTCAAAAAGGCCACAAAGCCGACGGCCTCCGCCGCCCCATCCGTGGCGGCCCCCGCTGCCCCCGTCGCCCCGGGGACGGCGGCCCCGGTGGCGACCACGGAAACCCCGTGGTCGCAGGTCCTTGACCGTAAAGCCAAGAAGGCCGAGAAGGCGGCTGCTACGACGGCCCCCAAGCCCAGGGCCCTCACCACCCCGAAATCATCGGCGGTGGTAATCACAGTGAGGTGATCGGGGGGCTGGCCATGGTGTCGCGGCCATCGAAAACCGCGGATTTGAAGGTCGTCGGTCTCGATGAGACGGCGACACCCGAAAAGGTGCGGGACGCGGTGGCCGCGAAAGGCCAATGCCCCTCCTCGGAGGTCAGCGTGGGGACTGTGAGGCACGACCCCAACGGGAGGGGGTCGGCCCTCGTTCGCTGCCCGGTAACGGCAGCACAGCTGGTGGTGGCAGCAGGCCGCCTACAGATGGGCTGGACCTCCGCTGGGGTCCAGGTGCTGGAACCCCGCCCCATGCGCTGCTATAAGTGCATGGGGATCGGCCACACCAAGAAGAAGCGCCCTGTGCTTCAGGTGTAGCCAGGAGGGCCACCAGGCCGCCAGCTCGGTGGCGCCCAAGTGCACCGTGTGCACGTCGGCACGCAGGCCGGCGGAGCACATCATGAGGGGGCTAACGTGCGCCCCCCCGCCTAGTAGAGGTAAGGTGATGGGGGCGACTAGCCCGCTCCCCACCAAAGCCAGTGAGGGCGCAACAATGGAGCACTAATGCATATACGTCCGGATCCATTAGTGCTCCAAGTGAACCTCAACCACTCCGCCAGGGCACAGGACCTCCTGTGTCAAACCATGGCGGAGTGGGAGATTGACGTGGCGGTGGTCGCCGAGCCCTACTTTGTTCCCCCCAGGGGGAACTGGGCCGGCGACCAAATTTCGACGGTGGCTATAGTGGCGAGTGCGGCCGGCCCTTCTCTGGTGGTGAAGGAGCGCGGAGCCGGGTACATCATGGCGGGGTGGGGAGAGTTCACCCTAGTAGGGGTGTATTTCTCCCCTAACCTCGCCCTTGCCCGGTTCGAAGCGTTCCTGGAGACCCTGGAGAGGGCGGTGAGGAGGGCCGCACCGACGCCGGTGCTGTTGGCAGGGGACCTCAACGCGAAGAGCGCAGCTTGGGGTTCCCCGGTGGCCAACAGCAGGGGGCCGATGTTGGTGGATTGGGCGGCGGCCTTAGGGCTGTGCGTCCTCAATCGCGGCCAGACACACACTTGCGTGCGGCGAAATGGGGGGTCGATCGTGGACGTCACGTTCGCGACCCCCTCGTTAGCCGCACGCGTGTCTGGCTGGGAGGTGTTGGAGGACGCGGATGAGGGTCTCCACAACGCCGCCCGTGAGGACATCCACCACGGCCCTGGGGGGGGGATTCCCCCGATGGGCACTCACCCGCCTGGATTGTGAGCTTGCAAAGGAAGCAGCCATAATCCAGGCGTGGTGCCCCCCCCCACCGGCTACCGTCGGAGTGGAGCAGAGGGCGGTCAGGTTCCGGGATGACCTGACCGCCGTCTGCAGACGGGCCATGCCCAGGGTAAGGAGGACCCTGGGCAGGAAGAGGGTATACTGGTGGAGTACGGAGATAGAGGATCTCCGCACCGCCAGTATCGCGGCCCGCCGGGCCTACGGCAGATGCCGCCGCAGGAGGCAAACCACCGAGGAGGAGGAGAGACTCCACAGCGCCCTTCGGGGTGCGAGGGACGCCCTGAAGGGTGCGATAGGACGAGCCAAGGACTCTGCGAACGAGGAGTTCTTGGCCGTCCTGGACGCGGACCCGTGGGGGAGGCCGTACAAGCTTGTGCGCGACAGGCTGTACGGCACTTCCCCCATGGAGTCACTGGAGCCGGACCTTCTCCGGGGGGTGGTGGAGGGGCTATTTCCTGCCCCGCCACCCTTCGCCCCCCCAGTCATGGCTCCTCCCAATAGAAGGAAGGGGGGCACATAGAGGACCTCCCCCCGGAAATAACCGAGGGGGAGATGGACTGGGCGGTGGAGCGGTTGCGGGGCCGGAAGAAGGCCCCTGGCCCGGACGGGGTGGCAGGGCGGGTATTAAGTCTGGCCCTCAAGCACCTCAGGACCCGCCTGAGGCAGCTCATGAACGAGTGTCTGAGGTCGGGAACCTTCCCGAGGTGCTGGAAGGAGGGCAGACTCGCCCTAATACCCAAACCGGGCCGGCCTGCGGACTCTCCCTCGGGGTACCGGCCCCTCGTCCTACTGGATGAGGTGGCCAAGATCCTGGAGCGCATAATCGCCTTCAGGATCAAAACCCACTTGAGGGAGAGAGGCCCCGAAGTGTCACAGCGTCAATTCGGGTTCAGGGAGGGACTATCCACCCTGGACGCCGTGGAGGCGCTGCGACACTTCGTGGAGGAGGGTGGCGCCAGAGGAGAGGGTGTGGTGGCGGTGTCCCTGGACATCGCCAACGCATTTGGGACCCTCCCCTTTGCCGCCGTCAAGGAGGCGCTGAGGTACCACAACATCCCGGGGTACCTCAGCCGTCTGGTGGGGCACTACTTAGAGGAAAGGGTGGTGCTCTACCAGACGAGGGAAGGTGGGCGCATGGAACGTCCGATGAGGTGCGGGGTGCCCCAGGGATCTGTAGTAGGCCCTCTACTATGGAACCTGGGGTATGATTGGGCGCTCAGAGGCGAGCTGCTCCCTCGGACGGCCACCATCGCATACGCGGACGATGCGATGGTGGCTGCCCGGGGGCCCACCTTCCGGGAGACGGCCCGAAGAGCCTCAACGGCGGCGGATCTGATGATCCGCCGCATAGAATCGTTGGGGCTAAGGGTCGCCGTGCCGAAGACGGAAGTGGTCGTCTTCGGCGGGAGGGGAGGAGGTTGGGTAGTGCCGGCGGGCGCCCACATCTCCATCGCCAGGGAGATGGTCCCGGTCAAGGCTCAGATCAAGTATCTGGGTCTTGTCCTGGACCGGCGGTGGAAATTCGGGGAGCACTTTCGACCGCTCGCTCCCCGAATAGTGGGCGCCGCCTCTGCGTTGGGCCGGCTACTGCCCAACCTCGGAGGGCCGGGAGCCCCGTGCAGGAAGTTGTACTCCGGAGTAACCCGGAGTATGGCACTGTACGGGGCTCCCGTGTGGTGTGGGGCCTTATCAGCGGCAACGAGGGCGCTGCTGAGAAGTCCCCAGAGGGTGGTCGCCTTGCGGATTTACAAAACATTTTATTGAATGAATTTTTATTAAGTTCAATTTAATATTAATTATTAATATAAATTAGAATAAACTAAACCATATTAATTAGTACTGCAGTCTTATGTCTGTTTGGAATTTTTCATTAGAGGAAATACTGGATCCCAATCTGGTGGTACGGAGAAACCATCTTCCCTGTTGAAATTAGGATTTTTTTTTAATTTCAATGGCCTCTCGTAGCATCCTGGGTAGATAACGGACTTCTTTTGCAAGGACCTGGGGTTTGTCAAACTTCATTGAATGTGTAGGTTTATCCATGACATGCTCGCAGACTGCAGACTTGTTTACGCGACGGTGTTTGACATCAGCTATATGTTCTTTGACGCGGGTACAAATACTTCGCTTTGTTTGTCCAATATAAGAGAGACCGCACTCACAGTCAAGCTTGTAAACTCCTGCATCCTGTAAGGGGATGTTAAATTTCACGGGTCTCAGGAACTGAGAAATCTTCCTCAGGGGCTTGAAATAGGTATTGATAGATGCGCGCCTGAGGACTCTTCCGATCTTGTCTGTAACACCTCTCACGTAAGGTAAGATGGCAGGTCTTCGCTCGACTGTTGGTGGTTTCACACGGGGCCTGTGGCATTAGCGTAGAATCTTGAACTTATTCGCATGTAGGACTTGCTTTATATGTTGAAGTTCCCCTGCCAGATGATTGCTGTCGCAGGCACCATGTGCTCTCTGAAACAAAGATTTGCCCACGGTAGCTAACTGGCTAGAATGGTGATGGGAATTACTATTGAGATACCTATCTGTATGGGTTTTTTTTCGAAATACAGTATGGCCTAAGGTGTTATTAGGGTTTCTTTTAATTAAAACATCTAAGAAAGCTAAAGTACCACAATTCTCTTGTTCCATAGTAAATTGGATCTTAGTACTAAAATAATTAAGATGGTCCAAGAAAGAAGGTATGCTATCTTTAGGTAATATTGTGAAAGTATCATCAACATACCGTTTGAAAATCTTCGGTCTAGCTGGGGCCATGGGTAAAACTCGCTCCTCGAAGTCTTCCATGAAAATATCGGCAACAACGGGAGATACCGGGGAGCCTATTGCTATACCGTCAATTTGTAGGTAAAATTTATTTATTTATTTAAACTTTATTGTACAATACACTAAAGTACAAATGGCGGACTTAATGCCATAAGGCATTCTCTACCAGTCAACCATTGGGCCAAAAAGAAAAAAAAACACAATAGGTTGGTGCTACACTTAAACAAGAAGAACAATATACTAGAAAACTAATCGATAATTTGTATGGTATAAATAAATAACATGCTATAAACATACTTATTATGCATACATAATAAACTTACATATATATATTATAATAATAAATAATATGATATATGTACCCAAAGCAACATTATACAGTGTCTTAATTTTGACTATTGTCAAACAGATGCTTGCGCAACATGCGCTTGAAAGATAATTTGGTCTGAGATTGTCTTACACGAAGCGGGAGCGCGTTCCAAAGACGAATTGCATGAAGGGTAAAAGAATTAGACAAAAAATCAGTGCGATGAGAAGGAATAGAAAGCTTAAGGCTACGGGAAGATCGAAATTCACAACCCGGCCGAGCGTTTTGAAATTGAAATGAACATTTAAGATAATCAGGTGCAGCCGGGTCGAACAAGATGGAGAAAAGTGTGGTTAAAATTCTTAAGGACCTGCGTTCACGGATGGGAAGCCAATTTAGTTGACGACGAAAAGCAGAGATGTGGTCATACTTCCGCAGACCAAAAATAAACCTAATGCAGTTGTTAAGAAGACGATCTAATCTATTCAATAAGGTTTGAGAGATGTTACTGTAACACACGTCAGCATAATCAATCACAGGCAACACTAGAGCTTGAACAAGGAGAGTTTTGGTTTTAATTGGAAGAAAGTTCTTAAATCTGTAAAGAGCTCTTATAGTGTCTGTAACCCTACGACAAACGTCAGACACCTGGGAATCCCACGTAAGGCCTGTGTCAATAATAAGCCCCAGGTTCTTTACCTGATTTGACAGAGGAATCACTACGTTCTCAAACATTATTGGTGGCACGCACGACAGATCACAAGACGAAAAAAGGCGTGAGCTTCCAAGGATGATGGCTTGACACTTAGAAGGGTTGACATTGATACCAAACTTTTGGGACCAAACCGAGACGCGATGAAGGTCATCATTAATTAATACAATTGCATCACTTATGCCAGCGACATTAACCTCGGTATAAAGCTGCAAGTCGTCGGCATACAGGTGGTAAGAACATTTGATGCTGGACGTAATCAGATTTATGAAAATAGAAAACAAGAGAGGAGAGAGAATTCCGCCCTGAGGTACCCCGGAAGTGAGTTTACACCATTCTGAGAACGAGCGATCAATACGAATCGCTTGTTGGCGATCGCGGAGATAAGAAGAGAACCATTGAGCTGCCGTTGAAGAGATGTTTAGGTGGTCTAAGGTAGCAAGGAGAAGGTCATGATCCACGGCGTTGAATGCATTGGAGAAGTCAATTAGGACCAGCACAGTAAGTAGAGTACAGTCCATGCCCCTCCTTACATCCTCAACAATCTTTAGCAATGCAGTAGAAGTACTATGACCTGGTCGAAAACCTGATTGAAATGGAGAAAGGATATTGTTTGAGTAAACATAGGCAGACAATTGTTTGTGAACGATAGCCTCTAAGACTTTGGAAAGAAAAGGAAGAATTGAGATGGGACGGTAATGCTTGAGGAGACTGGGGTTAGTAACTTTTGGAAGAGGGATTACATGAGCATTTCGCCACAGAGAAGGAAAAGCCCCAGTCGTCATCGAGAAATTAACTACGTGCGTGATAATAGGGAGTATACATTCTAAAATACACATAACCATAATTCTACTTACGTCATCGTGCCCAACAGCATTAGATTTGATTGACAAAACCACTTTCCTGACCTCATCTTCAGTTACTGAGGTGAAAATAAATACAGAATTTGAAATTTTGGGCAGTGCTCTAATAAATGCAATACTTTGTTGTTTGGTGTTGGTGTCCAAAGTTGCAGTTTTGGCAAAGTGAGTATTCAGCTCATTTAAGGAGAAGGAAGAAGTTATATTGTACGAAATTTGCGGTTTACCTACACCAATCAGAGAAAACGTTTAAGGATAAATACAAAGTGTACCTACTGAACGCACAAAACCAAGACACAATTTCTTAATTGCTATTTATTTTTACTTACCAAATGGTTTTCTACGCTCGGCATATGCGACACCTGCGGCAGTCAGTTCCTTTGCTTGTTAGATTTTTCTCCTTCTTTTCTTTTTACTTTTTTACAAGCTTGATTACCGGGTTTCAGGTGGGGATCTTATCGTTTTGTTATTTTAATTTTAGTTGTTTTTCTCTCTGCAATATAAACATATTTACAATTAATTATTGGGAATCAATATTGTTTCATTTTAATTCATTATTAATACATCAATGTTTATTATAAATTCAATTTATATAATAATATAATGGTTTGGAAAATACTTACCCAAATGTTTATATTGAAAAAATGCATTACGAAAGTGCACTATTCTGCTGCGTCATACACTCCGGCGAGCGACGCGAGCGTCGGTTTGGGTATGCAAGAGATACGCATCGGAACAGGTTGTTACCTATCAAAAAGTCACCCACACCCGCACCCCGCTTCGATCTCCTGTATCGTCCGCGCGGGCGCCACACTTCACAAAACTAGACATTATCCATTTATTATCATTTACGTATTTCTATATAGTTATATGTACAACATTGTTATATTTATATTTATTATTGTATTATTATTACTATTTCTATTACTCTCGTAGGTTTGCTATCTCTTTAGGTTTACTTCTTTTTCGATTTTATTATCATTGTCAGTGACTCACTCGCCCGGGCTTGCTGAAAATCAGTGCCACGACACGGTAAACAAACCGGTTGTGGCTAAAGCTGAGCAAGTCCCGTTTGCACTAGTCGCGACACGCATGACGATGAATTACCTGCATATTTTGTATTATTATTGTTCCTCAATGTCCTTTTGTTTTTATTATTATTTTTGTTTTTTGTTTATATGCGTGTTTGTGATTGTGCAATAAATGGCTTTCTATTTCTATTTCTATTTCAATGGATTTTAGGAATTTCCAGGTGTTAACGGGGGAAGAATGTAAAATATTTTCATAAATATGTTTACGTTTGGCTGCTCTTACCATCTGATTACACCTATTTCTTGCTGCTTTAAAACAGAGCCAATTTTCCTCACATCGGTCGCGTTTGTATTTCCTAAACGCACGATCTCGTCTTGTCATTGCAATACGGACTGCTCGAGTTATCCACGGCGCAGGAGGGCGCTTAAGTTTGACAGATCGAATTGGCGCGTGAGTGTCAAAAAGTTTCAGAACTGCGGAGTTTAGTGAAAACACCGCCTCATCGACTGTTGATGCTGACAACGTAGGGCCCCAATCAAAAGCCTGCGCGTCCTTTTTTAACACTTCCATGTCAAGTCTCGCGAAACTACGTAGTTCAATTGTAACAGGCTGAGCCTTAAGTGGCTTAATTTTGTAGCTCAAGTAAATGAGGTCATGACGTGAAAAACCTGGTGCCAAAAATTGTCCAGCCTTGCCCACGTGATCAATAGAGGAGGCAAGTATAAGATCTAGCCAGGTATCCGACGCGTCTACGTTGTGATGAGTAGGCTCAAGAGGTAGAACGGTTAGAGCTACAGATTCAATCACTGCTTTCAAAGAACGAGCTCTCATGCTGTTTTTCATGAGGTCGGTATTAAAATCGCCCATGATTATTTGATGAGTGTATTCAGCACTAAGAGATGAGAGTAAAGTTTCGAACGAAGAGAAGTACCTAATCTATAGAAGGAGGACAGTAAACAACCCCTAGAGCCACTTTTAT